GACAAAGAGAGCAGTGATGGTTGTCTGCCCCAGCAGAGGTGATGACACCCGAACTGGCAGAAGTGCAGAGGTAATGATACCCGACCTGACAGGAGCTTGGGAGTGAGTGCGCGAAGTGGTTATAAAAGGCTCTCTTCCCCCCAAGAAGGAGGGAGGTGATAACTTTGCGCCATCTGGTTTTTTATCTTGCCTTTGAGAAAATACTAACTTGAGCTTCGGAGCACTCTCACCTGGTTCCTCCCCGGAGATTACTCGCTTTCTTCCCCGTTTCAGGCACCTTTTGCTCCAGCCAGAGGCAAGATCGTTGACAGCTAGGACCGGCTGGATTGCGCTCCATCACTTTACATTACTATACACACTCCATCGCCCAATTGTTAGTTTGTGACTAAGCCTTCTCTTGTCTCCATTAGCATTCAAATTTCGTTCTTCATCTATAATATCTAAATAGCTTTTCTTTCTTTGAAGAGTGTTACCATCATGGTGCCTTCTCCAGGTAGAACATATATTCATGTTTTAAACATAAATTCCTTTGCATTTGGGTATGGCTAATTTATTTATTCACTTTTTTGGTTGGTATGGACATGTCTAGTTTATGGTGGTTCGCCACATTTCAATTAAGCTTTGTTACATGTATGTTGAACTTTATAATTGTAAGTTGTCAATTGAACTCTTGCAGCTCCTAGGACTGTACAATTAAAATGTGGAAGATTTCAAAGGAAGCTGATGTGTGAATTGAAGGTAAAGTCATCTCTTCTTTTAGGTGAACTTATTTTTGAACTCTAGATTGCATATCAATATATGGTTGCAAGTTGTTATGTTGGAAGTTCCATTAACCCTTATCAGTACTGTGTAGGGATAGGTTTCTATTCCCTGTTTCAAGGAGCTATAATTGTGGTACCCCATTTTCTCTGGTTGCCTTTCTCTTAGATGTCTGCTTAGTCCCATGTACCTCTGTATGTACTTCTTTATTACACAGTATGGGTAACTGTATGGCATGCCCATATTTTTCTCCTTCCTGCTGTTGCTCATCCTGAGAAGATCAATTATGAGTGGTTGTGAAGATATGATGACTGCTCATACCTTTGAATGGTTCTTTTCAGGTTCTGTGCTGGCATAAGTCCTTTGTTCAATTGTGTCCTTTCTTTATCTTGGATAGAAGGTTCAAGGTGTTGACACGATATGGCCAATACATGGTGTATCCTAACGTATCTTTGAGTGCTGATACATCTGTTTGCAGGAACTCCTTTTTTTATTAAATAATATATATATATATATATATATATATATATATATATATATATATATATTCTTCAAACTGAAATTTGAAAAAACTAAAGAAAAGGAAAGGCGCATCAGTTAAAGTACCGATACACCTATTTATCAAAAAAAAAGGTACCGATACACCTCTGCCAATACATAGAGGTGTATGGATACTTTGAACCTTGGATAGAAGTAGGATTCATGATTATGAAAGGTGATTTGGTTGGACTTTGTTTTAAGCCCTCAAACCTGAATTAGTACTCAAGTGCTTTCTTTTCATTTCTTGTATCCTTTTTCCTACTTTGTTAACTTCCGATTTACATTTTCTTGCATCATTTGTTTTGATTCAGGGGAATGGGCACTGGTTAAATCTCTTGCAGTGTGCTTCACCTCCGGAGGAAATTAAGCAAGTAATTTTCTTTTATATGGTTTGATGGTTATAGTCCAGTAGCGAGACTAATCTCCTATCAACTCTCCACATGGTGTTTACATTCTTTTCTTGATATTTCTGTATATTCATATTTTTTATACAAGCAGTATATTTTTTGAAACAGCCTCTCTGTAATGTGCAGGGGTAAGACTGCGTACATCTGTCCCTCTCAGACCTCACATTGGTGGCTCCTATACAAGCAATATGGGGAAACATTGCCACTGCTTTCTCAGTCGGGCACTCTGGCTCTTTCATTTTAGGTAGTTTAGTGAAAAAGCCAGAGTGCCCGACTGAGAAAGCAGTGGCATCGGTGACTCAGTGTTGTAGCCTTGTAGGGGGGCATAAAAGGGACTGGGATCGGCATTGTCGTCAGACAAGATTGTGGAGCCGAAGTGGGCACCACTGGTTCCTGGAATTCAAACACTAAAGAGGATGCAAACAACCACTCATGCTATATAAAGAGAAGCAAAGTTACATGTATTTTGCTCGCCTTGGTTATATAGTACAGGCCACAAAGTTAATTGTATAATATCAATTTATATTTTTATCCTTTACTTACACACGACGTACATAAGTTATATTAGTTGCTTAAATGGAAATTTTTGAGCAGTTTAAAAAAAGGCCCACTTGGCTCACGGGAATAGGGTTTGGAATCGGAATCAAAATCGGAATAAGCTATTGTGAATCTGATTCCAACTGTTTGGTTGGGCGGAATTAGCCCCCAATCCTTATAACCTCTTAAAACCCCCTTAACCATGGTGGCGACGGATTAGGTCACGGGTCTCCGCAGCAATGAAATCACACTTCTACCAACTGGGCCACAAGCCCCATCCCTAAACCACCCTCCCAGCTAGCTGCTCAGTTTTACAAAAATTCACCATCTATTTTCCAATGCCTGAATGGTAAGGATAATATCCTTGTTTTGGTCATTTCCATGCCGAGGTTTATTTTAATCTGCATTCAAAACCTCACTTAGGTAGTTTAGAATTTTCAGCTACCAACACAGGGTGCCAAAAATGTCCCAACTAGCCATTGCAACCGTACATTGGAGGCATCTCCCTTGAATGATTAAGGGAGATGTTCCTAATATGAGGCTAGTGGCCTGTTGGAGCAGGGTTGATAGCAGATCCCTACCCCCCAAAGCAGAAGATACATACAAGAAATGCACTTTCTTGTCAATCTGGACCATCCAATAAATGGACTCTATTCTGTAACTTTCCTTAGACCGCACGTCAATATTTCAATGATAAATCTACACGTCCTTTAAAATCACCTGATGAATAATTCATTGTTTGTTCGCCATTTGCTAAATCCATGGCCTATTGATATTGACACAATTGCAACCGGTACACAATGTAATGTTTATTCAGGATGATCCAACTGTTGATTCGAAAGCCTTCAATTTGATGGTAAAGAACAATGTACTAATGAAAAAGACGTAAATCAATCTTCATCAATGGAGTGTTGAACTAACCTATCAATTCAATGATTCTAGAGGGGTTTGTAACAACAGAAATGGCAGAGGAAATGGTGATGTGGTTGGTTTGTCTTTGACTAATAACTAGACTGTCCAAAGTGGTTTTTGTGAGAATGATCACCACACTGATCACTCTGCCGTGGTGTTGAAAGTCATGACTACAAACCAAAGACTTGGAAAATCATCTTCTAAACAAAACGAAATGTACAAAAACATCCCTAAAAAGTTTACAAGTGACTCATCATCTCCCACGACAGAGATACAGAAAGAAAGCCATGCATCTCCTCATCTTGTCTTCAACTTCTGAGTATGACTGCCTCAACCTCAGTGTTCTTCTCAGATGTCTCTCAATACCCACGTCCATTTACCTTTGGGAAAGTCTGTACCTGTTTCCTGAACAAGTTTGGATTAGTGTTCAACTGTTCATGAGCTTCCTGAGCATCTCCTCACCTTGAATGAATGTTGAGTTTACCTCTTCATACACCCAGTTGACGACTTTGCCAGAGGTGGAAGTTTGGCACTCCAACCAACCGTGTTAGTGAGTCTATTCTCAAATCCAGAACACCCTCGTAGTCTCATACTGGCTAGCCAAAGTTTCTGCTAGTGTTAAAACTTGGGCATTGGCTGTTGTGTCAGCAATTAATTACCATCCTTTTCTGAAGTTCTGAACAAGTTTGGTGGGGTCTGAATCAAGGTTTTCATCTATGGTTAAAATAGATAGCCTCAAGAACTGATGGCCATTTGAGATGTAATCCATCTTGAGCAAGGGAATGGTTTCCCATTTCAATAAATTGAAGACTGATGGATGGAAGAACCAATGCCCTTTTTCTCTGACCCCAACAAAAGGTCAGTTTCTGGCTTCCAGCATTAAGGTCAATCAAATTTTTATCAGGTTACAGTTTAAGGATGGCTAATTAAAACAATTTATTAGTCATATATATTTTATCATATCAAGCATAATCAGGATCAAGCAAAAGCTATATAGCATTTCTCCCATGCCAAAGAAAGTAGACCAGATTGGATGATTGCAAATTTGTGTTCTTCCAGCTATGCTGAACGAAAACAATATATAGACCGATTTAAATCATTTAAGTAGATCAAACCCTGGCAAAGGAGTCCCAAAAATTGGGTTAGACAATAAAATTTTGGGGGGGGTGATTTTTGTTCAATTTGCACCAGTATTACTAGTTATTAGCATGCATTACCAAGGTTTTAAAAAATGATCCGAAATAAAACTATTCGACTTGGTCACTCCCTCATTTCATGGGTCATAAAGTGGGGCAATACTTATCTCCTACCGACCTATCACTTGATTTTTAGATTTAATCTTTGAAATCTAAAATCCTAAATCCTAAAATCTAAATTTAAACATTAAATCTTAAAAAACTAATCCTAAATCTTAAATCCTATTATTTAGAATCTAAATCTTTAAACCCTAAACCCCTAAACTTTTATCCTAAATTTTAAAATTTAAACCCTAAAATCTAAATTTTAAACCTTTAAATCCAGACCCCAATTTGCTGTATAAAATGCCTTTTAAACCTAAGTATTTTTCATAAAATGGGACACAAGATCATAAAAGTGGCACGTATGCCAATACAAGTGTTATTTTTTGCCGCCAAGACAACGGGGTTACTTTTTGCCGCCAATACAACGGGGATTGTATTACTAGTGGCTGTTGTTTGTGGAGTCCTATTATTTGGCGTAAACTGTGAGCCACAGTTTACGCCATATCATATAGCATTTTCATGGATCAGATACACGAGTATGATGAAAAAGTAAAGGAGGAAGAATGCTACGGTGCTGAAAAGAAAGGTGGAATCGTGTGCAGGAAGAAGAAGAAGAAGAAGACGAAGAAGAAGAATTCGAAGAGAAGCAGAAAAAGATGGAAGAATCGACTCTGGGAGAATCGAACGGTAAAAAAAAAAATTTGTTGAAGGGAGTTTTATATATTTACCTGTCTATTTTCACAACTGCGTACACTAATCTAGTTTGTTTATTTACTTTTAGTGTGGTTGGCTGGACATAGACTGGGAGATAATGTGGTAATTAAGAGATAATGTTGGGCATCTGTATTTGTATAGTCAAATACTGTTCATTCTTAAGTTAAATTTAGCCTCTTCTATTCCGAAAAAAGGGATTTTCTAAAATTGAATTTTGATGGCAGTAGTTTTGGCAATTCAGGACCATCTGGAATAGGGGACGTGTTAAGGAATGATAGAGGAGAAATCTTTGCTTTATTCTCAGGGAATATAGAGGAAGGTGACTCTACGAGGGAAGAATTAGTGGCTGTAGTTTGTGGAGTCCAGAAGGCCATGGAGCTGGGAGTGGAAAAACTTGTAATTGAAAGGGATTCAAAGACTGTAATTTGCTGGTTGCTGAAAACGGAAAATGTTTTCCAGATGTACAGAAATGAAATCAAAAAATTTAAGCAGGATACCGAGAGTATGCAATTGAAGATTCTATGAATTTCGATGGTAGTAGTGAGGGAAAGCCGGGCCATTCAGGCATTGGAGGCGACTTTTGGAACGGGGAGGGTGGAATTGTTGCCCTTTATACTGATAAAAAAAATATTGACCTTTACTTGGGGCCAATAGATGCGGGAGACTCCTTGAGGGAAGAAATCTTGGCTGTGATGGAAGGGATCCAAAAATCCAAGGAGATGAATGTAAGAAGATCAATCATAGAAGGGGATTCAAAGTTGGTAGTTAGCTGGCTGCAAAAAGATGAGACTGGCTGGTGGAAATTTGTCAATGGAAGGAGGAAGTTTAATTATTTAACACAAGATATAGAGATCAAGTTGCAGTGGGTTAAAAGGAGTGCAAATGCCTTTGCTGATGCTTTGGCAAAGCAAGTGGTGGGAAGGGATCAACTCTTCTGGGCTGTTCTGTAATTGCTGTATTTTTTGTCTTCTTGGAGAGAGTTAATAGAGTTTATCTCTCTCAGGGATGCTCACTTGTATCTTATTCATTCATTAATGAAAATTTCTGGTTATTGATAAAAAAAAGATTCAATGGGTTGTAAATAGAGAACATCTTGTTGGGCTATGCTGTAAATATTGGGCGAGGAATCCTTTAAAGGATTCAAGGGGTTGTAATGAGAGGTGGGTTTTGAAATGATCTGTACATAATTTCTATTTTTGTACTTTTATTTTTTAATAACATTTCTGCTATTAATCCAAAAAGAACCAGAAAGGACAGGGTTAGAAATGACTATAGGAAGGAACCTAGGAATAGCTCCAACAGGTGATAAAATGAGAGAAGTTTGGTCACATGAATAGAAGGCCATCTAGGGCAAAAGTTAGAAGTGATCTATTACAAGTTGAAGGGGCTAGAAGGGCTAGGGTAAGATCAATAAGGACTTGGGTGGAAGTAATAAGAAACAATTTAAGCACCTATAATTTAATGATGGATATGACACTGAACAAAATGGAATGGGGAAACGTATTCATGTAGTGGACCCCATATAATTGGGATAAAGCTTAGATGATTTTGGTGGTCTCAATGTATACAAGGCTAACTCGGGGGGCTGGTCCCAATAAAGCTTAATCCAATCAACTCCTGTACCTTCCTCCCAAGTGAATGAATAAGAAAAACTATTTCTAGATATGGATGCATCTCCAGTGTCCCTTTAGGCTCTGTTTAGTTGCATTGCAAATGAAGTTTGCAGTTGTGCAAGTACATTAGGACTATAGGAGTGCAAATGGACTGAGTGTAAAATCCTGGTTTACCTTTGCTTCAGAATTGACCTAATTTTGTTTGTTTGTACAGAATAAAACAGGAAGCAAAATAATGTGGTCCACAATTTATATGAAAGAGAAATGAGGTGGGTAGAAGGTTTATTTGTTTGGAGTAAAGCAGGAAGCAAGTTGATGTGGTCCCCGCTTTATATGGGAGAAAATTAAGGTAGGAGGAAGTGGTGCAAAATTTGCATCAGTTTTTCAGATACAAAATTTGCACTGCTAATGGATGCAAATGTGACAAAAAGTGCAAATTTTGCATCAAGTAAGAGTGCAACTCATAATCAGAAACAAATGGATGCAAAACTGAACCATGTGCAAAATTTGTGTCCAATTCAGATTTGCATTGCAAATAAAGACTGCCTTATAGTCACACTGCTAGCAAGAGACTTAGGGGCCATTTGATAACAGCTAAGATTGCTGAACTGAATGACTTATTTCTTTGTCTTTTAGTGGATACAATAATCAAATAACAAAATATTCAAGGAGTATATTAACCTACCTGACTTCAGCTTAATCCATTAAGGAGCCCCCAACTGATGCAGCATTTATGTGGACAGAACTTGCGGTTGTAATGGCTGCGATCTCCAAGCCTGAAATTAGTATGATTTCAGGTTCTTCAGTGAACCAACAATGGTCTAGAAGGTGGAATAGAGTTGCAATAGGTTTTCAATGTGAAAACCAGATGGTTTCTAGCGTAGAAACTGAGAGAGAAATGTCACCCACAACCAAGCACAGTTGGGATACCGTGAACTGCAAAGTTGAACACACAACAATTGTAGAAACTAGAAATGATAGTCTAGAAAATGAAGTGCTGGACTGGAAGGTTTCATCAGTTTTTATAGACCCTTGTACAACAGTAGTAATAATGACACTTACATGGGAACTCAACTATATTATAAATACTTCCACATTCCCCAACATCCATTGATTCCCAAAAGACTTTTTGACTAACACAATTAACAAGACATCGACTATTTAATGCAATCGCAACTTACTATACTCCACAATTTACAAGACATGGGACTACCAAATGCATTCTCAACTACTAAACTAAGGAAAATATGGCATTAATGACAACTTTGTTTCCAACAATGGATCTTCTAGTGGACCCAACAATTTGGAGGCCCATTTCAGTAAGTAGCCAATGACCCATGAAGCTGGTCTAGAACTCCCAAGTCTCCAAATTCAGGCCTAGAACCCAAATTGCATAAGTTGCCACTTGTTCTAAATTTGGTCCACTTGGCCCATCTTGATTGCCATCATCTTTCCTGGGTTGAGAGAGATTTGACCTCGAGTCTGCATTGACATCATCTTCTGTGTATGGAGTTAAATTAGCAATATTGAACACAACAGAAGTGTTCACTTTGTTGGGCAACTTTACCTTGTATGCATTATCATTTATCTTCTTTAGAATTTTGCATGGGCCAACTTTCATTGCAGTAACTTGCCACTCTTGATTCTGCCCTTGTGAAGGTAAACCTACACAAGATCTCCTTCGTTGAAGATTGGATTCCTTCTCTTCGAATCTACTGCTCTTTTATTATCCCACATTGCTCTTCTCAATTTGCTTTAGAACTAAGTTCAGCAATGTTTCCAGCTGGTTTACTTGGATTTGGAATTGGGATCAAGTCTAAAACATTGTTGGGATTACCTCCATGGACCATCTCAAATGGGGACATACTAGTAGTACAATTTCTAGACTTGTTGTAGGCAAACTCTGCATGAGGTAGTGCTAAGTCCCATTGTTTAGGCCTGTCCTTCACTATACAATGAAGTATATTACCCAAGCTTCTATTAACAACTTCAGTTTGCCTCTCAGTTTGAGGGTAATAGGAACTCAGGAGTAGTTTCAATAGGTAATAAATGAGAGAAAGTAAAGATGGTTTGGTCACGTGCACAGAAGACCATCAACAGCACCTATAAGAAGTGATTGTTGCAAGTTGAAGGGACTAGAAGGGCTAGGGTAGACCAAAAAGGACATGGTAGAAGTGGTAAGAAATGATTTAAGAGCCAATAGTTTAAAAATGGATATAGCTTTAAAGAGAACACAATTGTGAAACAGGTTTCATGTAGCTGATCTCATATAGTTGCGATAAGGCTTGGATGATGATGATGATGAACCTGCAATTGTGTCCTTAGTAAGCATAGCATCTACGATCTCTTATTGACTATCCATTGCTATTCTCATGCCATATGCAAACTGTCATGATAAATTCTTGGCGACTCGTCTGTTTGGACTGTTGATTTAATGTTGAAAAAAAGAAGTTGAACCATATGCTTTGGAAAACGAATTGCTTATGTGGGAGAAAACATAGATAACATGCTGTCGACTTGTTTGTGTATAGGGCTATTCATGGTTTGGTTCGGTTGCACTTAGTTTTGTCAATTGAACCAACAAAGTCAGTCAGGTTGACTTTGAATTTATTAAATTCCTATCAATTGACTATCAAAAGAGGCAAGTGACCATATGAGTATTTGTTAAGTTTCCATCAGTTGCTTTTCAAAAGAAGCAAGTGACATAAGAGGATTATGATCAGCCTTTACCTATGCTACGCTTAGTAGGATTATGTCAATTTGGTTGGTTTTGGATCAGGTTATAAAGGCATAACCTGCAACTGAACCGAGTTGTCGGGTTTTACCATTTTCTAAACCAAAAGTGACCCAACTAACTTTATAACCGATCATCTCGGTCTGGTTTGGTCAGTTTATAACATCATGTGAACAGCCCTATTTGTGTATGTGGTTGTTGTATCCAAAGTTGGAATTGTGAGCATGCCTTTACTTCATGATTGTTGCAAATTGATGCCAACTTTTAGTGAAGAAATTATATTTTAATTGTTGGAGATTAAGTGTAAGATCTACAAGTGCTAGAATGGTAAATGGTATTAGAGTGGCAAGCTTGCACCCGTTATGATAGTTACACTTGATTTGGAGAAACTCTATATATTGGTAATTAAAATTCCCATATTGTTTCATATGTACGATCTGTTAAGACACTATGTTAATCCTGACGACTAACAAGGTAGCGTATGCGTGTAGTTATTTGTACTACCCAAGTGTTTACATTTGTTATATTTCATTGCAGTAATCTTATCGTATTACATGATATCTGTAGATGAGTATGAATCTTCTGTCTTGTATTTTATTGTGTTAGGTATGGATCGAGGCAAGCAGGTATGTGTTAATCTCAATGATGAATCAAATGCCGAAAACCTTAGTGGAGCAAATGAAGGTTCTTTATCTCAAAGCGTCCAGGATAATGAAATGGTAGAAACTAACAACCCATCATTGAAATTTAATAGTCAGAAGCCACTTTGGGAATTAACTGATGCGGAGATATGGAAAATGCAATTTGATACAGTTGATGATGCAGCCAAATTCTATTACGATTATGCACGTGAGATTGGTTTCAGTGTTAGGAAATCTCACAAGGAAGTTTACAAGGAATGCCAAGTTTCTCAAAAGTTAGTTTGTTCAGCTGAAGGTGAACGACATAGCATAGAGAACAGGAGAAGAGCACCTAAGAGGTTGACAAGGTTTAATTGCAATGCGTCATTTCAGGTGAAATTAGATCGTATCACAGGGAAATATGTGGTTACATGTTTTGTTAGAGATCATAGTCATGATCTTCTCCCATCTCCTAGCTCTATGTACTTACGTTTGCATGGAAGGGTAGTGAATGGTGATAAGGCTCAAGTAGCTGCTTTGAGGAATGCAGGGGATTTACATAATCATATTGATGCTGTTCGAAGATATCCCATTAGCACTGTGGATACTGACAGTGTATTACTATATTTGGAGTCAAAAGCTTTAGAGGACCGTGGTTACTTTTACAGTCACACTGTTAATAAACATGGTCATCTTCAAAACTTATTGTGGATGGATTCAAAGTCTCGTTTTGATTACAGTTGCTTTGGTGATGTGTTGATTTTTGATTCTACTTATAAGACTAATGTCTATGGAAAACCTCTTCTCATCTTTCTTGTTATGAACAATCATCATCAAACGATTATATTTGCTGCTGCCCTACTAGCAGATGAGACTGAGGACTCTTATATGTGGATGTTGGATACATTCTTGAGGGCAATGGGTGGACGAAAACCAATTTCTGTTGTCACTGATTGTGATGAAGAGATGCAAAAGGCCATCAAGAATCTTTTACCAGAGGCCCGACATCGCCTATGTACTTGGCATATCAGCCAGAATGTAACAAGTCATTGGGCAGCTATAATTGGTGATTTTAACAACTGTATGCATATGGTAGGTACCCCAGAGCAGTTTGAGGAGGCTTGGAATAAAATGATTAAAACATACAACCTAGGTGACCAACAATTTTTCAATGACCTTTATAGGAAAAGAGAACAGTGGGCTGAAGCTTATCTACGTGGTTATTTTTTTGCTGGTGTGAGGACAACCCAACGGTGTGAAATTCAGAACGGCTTTGTCAAGTGTTATTTAACCAGTAGAAACAACTTAACGGAGTTCTTTCGAAATTTTGAAATTGCAATTATGAACAACCGACAGCGGGAGGTGCAGGCAGACTTTCAATCAAAGATGAAAAAGCCTATTATAGGTGAACAGTTAAAGTTATACAAGGAACAAATGGGTTCTGTGTATACAAAGGCTTCATTTGAGAAATTTTGTATGATTGCAAATGAGGAAACGAACTTTGTTGTGGATCGTACTGAGCACATAAATGACCACCAACGCATTCATTTTGTTTGCAAGTGGTATAATCCAGAATCCAGATGGAGGGTTTTCTTTGATTCTTCAAGCATTGAAGCAAAGTGCTCATGTCTAAAGTTCGAGGAATTAGGGTTTCCTTGTGCTCATATGATTGTTGTGTTTAAGGTGGAACACCTTCGCCTCATCCCTGAAAGTTGCATTATGAAACGTTGGACTCTCAATGCCAAAGCCAGTATTCATCACAAAGACAATCATGCATCCACCCTTGCTTCTAAGGTTTCATCAACAGGTCGTTTCTTTGAGCTATTAAATACTGCTTATACTGTCTGTTCTCTGGGTGCAAAATCCCACAACACATTCCGTGAAGGCATTGCTGGTTTGAATTCTCTGAAAGTATTCTTGGAAGGAGTGGATGTTGACAGAGGAACAAGATGTCAAATTTTAGGTGAGCCGAGTACTAGAAATACGAATAAATGAGGAAACTTTGGTTTGTGACCCATGGAAATACATATGACTTGAGAGAAATATAAAGACTAATGGAAGAGATAAGGGTGAAAGTGCGATTGATAACATGAACAGCTTTTGCACTGGCAGATGGGTTGGCAAAAGAAGAAACATTAAGGGGGCAATTGTACAAACGTCAAGTGGTTTGTAGGGGTCAAATCTTGTATTTTTTGAGATGGTTAGCCAAGGCTAACTTTCCTCAAAGGGATTTCATCTTTACGCAATCTGCTTTTTCTATTGTATATAATTTCTTTTTTTACTCAAAAAAGGAGCTCTGTTTGTTTTGATCATGTAGAGAGCAGAGGAAATTTTGTAAAAATAGAAGAAAGGATATAAGCAATTTACTGATCCTTATTTGCAGTCAGAAACAAAGGCAAAGAGCAATAGCACAACAGTGAAAAAAAGGCCATGCTTCCAACCTACAACCCTATACATGATTCACACTGTGCAAACAACCCCAAAGGATTGGCCCATCCCATTAAGGTCTACACAACAAAAGAGATTAGATCTATTCAACTGGTTACACCACCCAAGGCATCAAAAGGAAAACCACATCAACCGACTTGAATACTACCTTACCCAACAAAATGCCAATATAAATATCCCTTTCATCCTCTGCCACATTATTTACCACCCTCCTTGGGCCATGGCCTCTTATTTTATCTGACATTCCCTTCTTCAATTTATTGTTAAGAGATTTAATATATGGCTTTACACATCTCAGGGCCACAAGAATTCGATTACTGGCATATCTTGGGAACCAATTTATCTGAATTCTCCCTGTTGCCAATTTGTATGGTGCAGTAATGATGGTGACACATGGATTTGAGATGTTTTATTAAGGAAGTCTGTTATGTCTTAGTGGTAACACAGTTGCATTGGCTTGTGTGAAATGGATAGTAGGGCTAGAGATGGAATATATACAAAGTAAAAATTGATTTTTTAAGGAATTCTGATGTTTCCTAGAATTACTGCTTCTTTTTGAACTTGGAATATTACATATTGAATTCATGCCGACAAATATTTATTCTTGATTGTTAGGTTTATCTTCTCTGTTGTATTCATGCTAATAAACCAGTGGCTTTCCATTGCTTTTTTCATGATTAGTTTAGTTTATTTGTACACCGATAAGTGAGTTCTTGTTCCCAAGTTTCTATGTTGACAAGTGAGTACATCCTTGATATAGCCATTATTTTTTCTAAGTGCCTGTAAAGAACTCTCCTTGTAATATTTTATTGGGCTTGTAATGGAGATTAATTAATTTGTCTAATTGGTGAACTGTTGAGAGAGCAGACTTTGCAACTACTGGTCTCTTTGGGTTATGACTAATTTATTTACTTTTTTTTTGGATTGGTATGGCCATGTCATGACTAATTTATGGTGGTTTGCCACATTTTTCAATTAAGCTTTATCATACTGTATGTTGAACTTTAGAATTGTAAGTTGTCAATTGAACTCTTGCAGCTCCTAGGACTGTACAATTAAAATATAGAAGACTTCACAAGGGAAGCTGATCTTTGAATTGAAGGTAAATGCATCTCTTCTTATAGGTGAACTTATTTTTCGGTTCTTGATTCCATACTGTTATGGAATTGCCAGATGTTATGTTGGAGGTTCCATTAACCATTACCAGTACCCTATGTGGATAAGTTTCAGTTCCCCTGTTTCAAGCAGCTATATTGTGGTAATTCATTTTCTCTGGTTGCCGTTCTCTTAGATGTCTGCTGAATCCCATGTACATCTGAATGTTTCTTTATTAGACAGTAATCAAATTTATGGTTAACTCTATAGCCTGTTCATATTTTTCTCCTTCGTGCTGTTGCACATCCTGAGTAGATCAATTATGAATGGTTGTGAAGTTAATGGTAGCTGCTCAGACCTTTGGATGGTCCTTTTCAAGTTCTTTGTTTTTTATAAATAAAATATAATTTTATCAAGGGCAAATTTCTTAAACTACCTCTACTCTTTAACCAGTTGACAAACTATACCTTTACTGTTTAACTATTGTCTTAGAGTACTCCTAAGTTTTTGGACAATTGACTAGTTCTACCTCTGCCGTTATATCTTGTTAATGTTTTCATCAAAATCCATATACTCGACACCATGTGACGTATAATTTTTTTAAAACCCAATACCACCCTCCGTTCCTCTTCTCTTCACTTCCCCGTTCTTTCTCTTCAACCTAATACTACTCTCTCTCTCTCTGTTTTCTTTTTTGGTTCACCATTAGGCCACTGCAACTCCCCTCTTTGTCAATGAGAACAAGTAGTTGCAGAATTGGAAAGCGAACTCTAGTTCCATTTCTCCTTACCAAAATTGGAAAGTAAAAAAACTATATACATCTCTTAACAATTTCTCCCTTTTGGATGATCACTTCTTTTTCCCCACTCATGAATGGAGAGGTGCGGCTTCTTGGAAGCAACCAGAGAAGGTCCACGTCCTACAATGGTGTGAGGATACCCATTGGCTCCTTAATTGTGTTCAACCTCAGCCTATCAGCTTCCTCCATGATACTCACGTGACTTTTCAACTATCAACAAGCAATTTGAGAGTTGAAAGTTGAAACCCAGTTATCTGTTAATCACTAAACAAAGTGAAAGACCAGAGAACTTGATCAGGACTTAGCAGGTCCCATTCGTCGGTACGCTTTCCCGTTATTTGCAGCGGTATTATTATTAATGGTGGGTGATTCTTGTGGATGAAATTCTCGAGATTTTGTTAGTTTAAACTACTAATCCACGGCTAGATTTCTAACTGTGTAGTATAAATATGGATATTCTTCAACCGCTGAAACCGGTTTCATGCCCTCGCCGTATACTTGGCCTACACACTGGCAACTGGTTGCCAAAACCCGACTGGACTACTTGAACGAGAAATAACGAACTGGATTAACAGCTGCAGCTGGTATGATTGTTGTCAGCAGCAAAAAACGACGATGTGCAGTTCAAATGACTGAGATCTGATTGTAGAAGTTCCTTTTAGGAGGGGAGTATTTTGCTTTCTCACTCAGTGAAAGGGTCGACGTGGCATAGAGTTTTGAAGACGAGGGAAGTAAGATGATCCACCGGGGTTCCTTCTTCCGAGGGTTCTTGTGTAGCGGTAGAACAGGGGATCGCCCTTTGAGGCTGACGTGATGAACATGTGCTTTTTGGTGAAGATGAACGGCAAAGTCCGACTACTGCCGTAGGAATGAGTAGTGTGGTGGCGTTGGACTGTTAGCAATGGATCGTTGCAAAGAAAGGGAAAAGAAACAGGAGTTCCCTTAAAAAATCCCCAATTTTTTAGTCAAAACTGAACCCTAAATTTCCGGCTGGGATAAAAAATGGTGTTCCTACCGCTGTATTCCAGTGACCAAAATCATGTACGAATGGTAATCCCATCCGACAATGGTCCTACCGCTGTGTTCCAGGAACCGACAATGGTTTTTCCTGGACTTCCTCGGTTCCTTCCTCATTTCCTTGTCTGTTATCCGGTCATGAAGAAACGGTGCCACAGAGCTGATTGTTCTCATGCCATCGTCGAAACCCTCAGCATTTCGTAGCTGAGGGTTCATCAAAAGTGGAAGATGGAACGGAGAGGGAGATGGAAAACGAAGGCAGAGTTGGAGGCGGAAATGGAGATAAGACGGAGGAAAAATGGAGAGAAAATTTAGCAGTTAACGATGATATTGATTATCAGAAACAATAGGGGTTGTGAAATGCAATAGTTAAATGGCAAGAATATAATTAGTTAATTAATTAAACAGTAGGGATAGATTAAGAAATCTGCCATTTTGGGAATGTAATATCTTGAGTTAGACCAAGTTTTTTTAATTGTTGGGAGTTGTATTCATGTCTATTAATAGTTTTTAAGGTTGCCTTGCCCAGCTTGGATCACACCTTAAGTGTAATAATATTTGTTTGGGCTTAGGACAAGGATATGATCCGTGTTAATTACAAAATCATGATTTTTTTATAAATTAAAATTTTTATTTAATTTTAGTATATTATAAAAAATATATAAAAAATTTTATCTATATATTAATATAAAATTTATTATCTAAATATGTATGTATATAACTTCTAGGTCGAGCTTAGGGTTGCTTACCTCGGGCCCTGCTCATTAAGGCTATCAGTTGACTCCAAAATAAAGATTGATACCTAATTCAATTCTAAATCTAATTATCTTGGATTTGGATGTTAGAACATGCATCCGATTAATAATCGGATCATATGTGGACTTGATCTCATCTGATCTAGCTAAAATCCAAATCCAATAAAAAATTATTATTTTATGTATATATGTAGTATAATTATGTATACATTTAGATATTATGCATAAGTATATAAAGTTTATAATTGATAAATATAACATTTTAAATTAATATATATTTATTATACATATATACTTTAAAAATATTAGTCTTTTAAAACTTTTTTTATTTTTTGGTCATTTTAAACACAATAGCCTAGTTACAAATTAAATCCAAATCCGACATAATAATCGGATGTGGATGTGGATCTAGAGATTTCATAATCGGTCGATACGGATGTAGCCATATTCGATTTCAATATGACCCATTTACAACCCTACTAGCTGCATCATTATGTGTGGGTTTGGTGCAAATTTGAGGTAGGCCTAGCTTAGAAGAAAATAGTTCCTTGAATTATAAACGATCATCCCTGAGTAAGAGTCTTTTGGCATTTTTATTTGGGTCATTATTACTTTTAATTATTATATTAATATTAGTTATTTTTTTAATAGAATTCAAATGTATTTTAGTTTTTAATTTATGAACTACTAATTTTTATTAATTAAAAAACTTGTTAAAGTTTAACATTTTTATTAACTTTAGTGATTTTTTTATTAGTTTTAGTTATTAGATTTCAAATTCTAAATTTTTGACAAATAACTAGTTAAATAGAACTTGAATATGAAACAAATAAATGGAATTTGGATAAGAGTAAAATTCTCTTTCTTTGGAATACAATAGGCTAATAATGGAAGAAGCTTATAGGAATATGATAAAATAGGTCAATGATGGAAGGGGTGAGACCTATGTCTTAGAATTCTCTTAGGTGATTTAACTATTTATGATATTTTTATCAATTATTTTTAAGCTGTTATTTGTTTATGAGCTAGATAGGGCCCATGCTGGTCTTGAAATTTATGGGTTTGATGTGGATCGGACTGAAATAATCACCCCTAAGCAAATTGCTTTTGGTTTATTAGGTTAATGAAGAGAGGAGAGAGAATAAAATAAAAAAAAAAGAAAAGGAAAAAAGAAAAAGGAAAAGGAAAAGAGAAAAAAAGTAAATGAATTTTAAGCGATTTAATAATTGAAAAGAGAGAGAGAATTTATGGAGTGAGTTATTGGAAGAAAGAGAGTTAATGGAATAATTAATGAGGAGAGATAATGAAAGGAATTAATGAGAAAGAAAAGAGGGGTTAATGGTGAGTTAATGGGTGGAGAGGTAAAAGTCTCAAAAACTTAAAAATTGATTGATTATTTGAGTAATGATGATATCTATCATTAATTGTTGCATAAATGGTACATATGATAAATTTTGACAATGTATTATTAATTTCGAAGATGTCTTACAAATAAAATTCTTTCTAGGCAATTCTACACTTTTTTTTGGTATCAACAGCATGGAGTAATTTTTTAAATCACATAACCATTAGTTGTACTGTTTTCATGTCACCTAATGTTGATTAGACATGGTGTGGATCATCAGAATTCGGACATTTGGCTCTACAGTTGCGTTGAAGATAGATGCCATAGTTTTCTCATCTTTAGTTGTATAATAAATTTTCACCATTAGGAGGATACATGAAATACTGAAATATGGGTCTGATCTCTCTTCATACCATGATAGATGTCATGCCATAGTTCTCTCATCTTTAGTTGTAGAGTAATTTTTTTATGCACAGTATAAATTTTATTTAGGCTATATTTGGAAGTGCTTAAAAATAAATGCTTATTTAAAATAAGTGATTATTTGGGTCATTAAGCACTTATTGGTATTTGAAAAATAAATTTAAAATAAATGTTTATTTTAAAAATAAGGGCTTAGTTTTTATGCCAAATTTTAAACTTTTTTTAATTGATTATACAATAAGCATTTATTCAATTTTTTTCTTCCAAAATTATTTCTAGTTGAATTTTAAAACACCGCTTATAAAATTATCCCTAGTTGAATTTTATAAAAGTACTTTTATGAAAGTACTTTTAAGAAAGCATTTTTACAAAAATACTTTTACAAAAGCACTTTATGAAAGTACTAATAAAAAGTACTTTTGTAAAAGTGCTTTCATAAAGTACTTCCATAAAAGTACTTTTGTAAGGGTACTTTCTTAAAAGTGATTTCGTAAAGTACTTTTGTAAAAGTATTGTTATAAAAGTATTTTCATAAAAGTGTTTTCAAAGGGTACATTTTGAAAATTTGAAAGAAAATGAAGAACAAAATAGTCACAAATGCTTAATTAAGTGCTTATTAGAAAAAAAGACTACGAAATGCCCAATATAAAATTAGTGCTTATTTTAAAAAATAAGCACTTGAAAAAGTTGGGTGCCAAATGCAAATTAATGCTTATTTGAATAAGTACTTGTTTTTAAGCACTTATTCAATAAGCTCTTATTTTTAACTTAAGCACTCCCAAACATGGCCTTAAGCAATAAGAAGAAAGGAGAAATTTTTTGAAAACAAAAAGACGAGGGAAATACGTTGCTATAATGTTTAGGGTGCTTTTGATGCATAAAAGAAATGCACATTCTTGTTAAATCTGGTCATCCAATAAATGGACTCTATTTTGCAAATTTTTCTTGATGGCATCTCGATATAGTTCAACGAAAAATTGTCCAACTAATTGTAGATCGTTCTTCACGTTCTTGGGGTCCATTTAAGTTCACATGATGAATTCATTGTTTGTTCACCATTTTGAAATCTATAGCCTCTAGATATTGACACAATTACAGCTGATACACTGATTTTTATTCATCTCACTTCTCACAAACTAGGCTCAAATGGTTCAGCATTGCAACTGCTACACTGTAATGTTTATTCAGGTGAACCAACTGATGATTCAGAAGATTTCAATTTGATGGTAACAAACAATGTACTCTCCAAAAAAAAAAAAAAAAAAGTAAAGAGCATGTTCAGCACTGGTACATCAACCTTCATCAATGGATTGTTGAACTAATCTGTCAATTCAAGGATTCTAGAGGGGCTTGTGACAATAGAAATGGCAGAGAAAATGGTGATGCGGTTGATTTGTCTTGACTAACGACCAGATTGTTGGATGTGGTTTTGATGAAAATGACCAAAACACTGCATAAAGTTGACTACAAACCAAAGACTTGCAAAATCATCTTCTAACCAGAAACAAAAATGTATACAAAACATCCTTGGAAAATTTATTCATATTAGTGTAAAACTGCTAAACAAATTCACATTTCCATGTCCTTGGTAGCTACAAGTAACTCATCTCCCATGACATAAATACAGAGAAAAGCCATGCCTGGCTAAAACCGATCAAGTTTAAAATTTTTAGTACATGCGCTTTTTGAGTTTAAAGGTATTCATCGATCAATCCCCTCAATCTTGTCTTCAACTTCTGAGTACAACTGCCTCAACCTTTCAATATTCTGCTCAGATGTCTCCCAATACCCACGTCCATTTGCCTCTAGGAAAGTCTGTACAAGCTTCCTGAATGAGTTTGGATTAGTGTTCATGAGCCTGTTTAGCATCTCCTCATCTTGAATGAATGTTGAGTTTGCCTCTTCATATACCCAGTTGTCGACTTGGCCCGAGGTGGCACTCCAACCAACTGTATTAGTAAGTCTCTTCTCAATTTCACGAACACCCTCATACCCACTAGCCATCATACCTTCATACCATTTGGGGTTGAGCAATTTTGTTCGTGCATCAAGCCGTACGGTTTCTGCAAGTGTTCGAACTTGGGCATTGGCTGTTGTTGTGTCAGCAATGTATGCACTGGGCTTCTTACCATCCTTTCGGAGGTTCTGGACAAGGTTCGTGGGGTCTGAGTCAAAGTAGTGGCTGACATCAGTAAGTGATATTTCAGATGAGTCAAGATTCTGGAATGTGGCATCAGCAGTACTGAGTGCCATCTCAAAGACCTTGCGCTTCTCAGTCATCCCTGCACCAGGGGCATCACAGTCAAAGGCAAATGACTTGCGGCTTAAGTACATATCTTGAAGTTGTTTTTCATCATTCCATGATGAGTTTTCAACAGCAAGGTTGATGTTGGAGGAATAGGAGCCTGAAGCATTGGAGAAGACACGAGTTGCAGCCTCACGCAGACCAATGCTAAGGGCTTGTGCCTGTTGTACTGCATGTTTCTTGACATAGTTCTGGTCTTCTGGTTCATCTAGTTCTGCAACCATCTTCACTGCACTGTCCAGGAGATTCATCTGTGGAAAAAATAGATAAAAAAAATCACCAAGATTATACCAAACAAAAAACTGAAAGTATGTTGAAAGCTAGCCTCTAAGAATTAATGGCTTTGTAAGATGTAATCGTCTACTGACTACTGAGCATGAAAATGGTTTCCCTTTTGAACAAGGAACCAGTCTTTTTTCTCCTTTGTTACTGTTCCCAACAAAAGATCAGGTATTAGGTTCCAGCGTTAAGGTCAATCAGATTTTTAGGAGATTACACTTGAAGGGATGGCTAACTAAAACCAATTACTAGTCATATATATCATATGAAGCATAATCAGGATCAGATAAAGGCTACATAGCATGTCTCCCAATCCAAGAAGTAGACCAGATTGGATGGTTGCAAGTTTGTGATCTTCCAGCTATACTGAAAGAAAGAAATATATAAAATGGTTGTGATCATCCAATTGGATTAAACCCTAGAAAAGGAGTCCTCAAAGTGGGGTAAGACAATTAAATGGAGGATTCTGCTGCAAACTGACCAGTTTTTCTACTTACCAGCATGCACTATATTCAAGCAATATCAAACAAATAGGAGAAACATAAAATTAAATAAACATACCTGATTGATGAATAGATCTCTAAACACTCCTGAGCAATTGACAATAACATCAATTCTAGGTCGTCCAAGCTCTTCAAGGCTCACTGGCTCCACCCTGTTCACACGGCCAAAGGTATCTGCAACAGGTCTCACCCCAATCATCCACAAAACTTGAGCTAACGATTCCCCATAAGTCTTGATATTATCTGTACCCCACAGCACCAGTGCAACGGTCTCGGGGTACTCTCCTCCATTGTCAGCCTTCTGCCTCTCAAGCAACCTTTCCACAACCACCTTTGCACTTTGCATTGCTGCTGCTGTTGGAATAGCCTGTGGGTCTAGTGCATGAATGTTCTTACCCGTTGGCAACACCTTGGGGTTCCTGATTGGGTCTCCACCTGGTCCTGGTTCTACGTAACTACCTTCCAAGGCTTGCTTTAAGCTCCCTAGTTCATTGTCAGCAACAACTAACTTCAAGCATTCTCCCAGGAACTGAAACAAGGTCCTAAGCTTCTCCCTGTCAGCCCTGTAGAACTTTGTATTTGACAAATACTGCACCCATGGCTCATTCAAACCAAAGCCAAGGATTGAGCTCAATTTGTTAGCCACATCAACCACTTGTCCCTTGTTATTTGTGGTCCTTTCAACAAAGGCTGATATTGCTCCACGTGATGCTTCTGTAATCTGACGTAGCAACTCCACATCCTTCAGTATACCCTTGTCATTTCCTCTATATACATCCTCTATATCCCTTCCCACTGTCTCAGCTAATATTGCTGGGAGTGAGGATATCCCTTCTTCTGGGCGGTCCAAGGCAGCAATATTGACCAGTGTTGCAACTGCCTCCATGGCTGATGGTGGCTCACCAATGACATGAAGACCACATGGTAGTAGGCGGGACTCAATCTCCATGATCTTGGAGTAAACCTTCCCAACCACAAGGTCTCGCTCTTTGGCTGATAGTTCTTCCCCTTCTTCAGGAAGGTTAACATCCTTGTCAAGGTTGCACTGCTTAGCAGTGCTGATGATGGAGCTCACAATCTGAGGCCCACGACCAGTGTCTTTAAGTGACTGGAAGGAAGATATCAGCTCACTGAGCTGCTTTAGGCCTTTGTAGAGCCCAGCATTCTCTGCAGGAGGTGTCAGATAGCTTATTGTATTGGCATAGCTGCGGCGCTTGGCAATGGTAGCTTCAGATGGATTGTTAGCAGCATAATAGTATACATTGGGAATGTTCCCTATGAGACTGTCAGGGTAACATACATCACTCATCCCAACCTGTTTTCCAGGCATGAATTCCAGTGAACCATGAGTACCGAAGTGGAGTACTGCATCAGCCTTGAATACCTTCTCAACGAAAGTGTAGTATGCAGCAAATCCATGGTGTGGACTGGCTGATTTGGAGAATAGGAGTCGCATTGGATCACCTTCATATCCAAATGTAGGCTGCACACCAATGAAAACATTACCATATTGCTTTCCATAGACCAAAAGGTTCTCACCATCAGAGTTCAGATTTCCAGGTGGCTTGCCCCAGCTCTCTTCTAAAGCAGTGGCATATGGAGTGAGGCTCTGGTACTCCCTGACACCCATTTTGTATGCAATATTGAGGTTTGGACTGCTGAATTGTGCCTCCTTGTCATGAATGACATCTTCAATCAGGGCTTCAGCTGTCTCTGGCAGGCCCTCAACATTGTATCCATCCTTTTGGAGATCCTTTAGGACAGAATAGATGGAGGCAAAGACATTGAGATAGGCAGCCGATCCAACATTGCCCTTGTCAGGTGGAAAGCTAAAGACAGTGATTGCAAGCCTCTTCTCTGTCTGCAGTCATTGATCATCATGGTCTTAGATAAACACATACACTTGTCTTAACTACATGATAAATATTGGCTAGTACCGCATAATCACTGGGAAAATTTTCTTGGAGGGTTGCAATTAAGGAGTAAGGACAAAACAATATCATAATGTCCTAAAAATATACTTAAATATGTATCTACTAAGTATTAAGGACTTAAAGCCAATCTAAACCAAATGAATACACATTGGTAATGAAAAATAATCAAATCAGATTAACACAATGCACACTAGCACTTATTATATCACGAAATCATAAGCAGCAAAGAAAATATTGTTTTCTTGTTCTAGTATCATTAAAGCATTATGAACCTTTTTTCATATTTATTGAATTTCTTTAAGTCAAGGTATTCCTGATTGCTTACTATGCTCAACATCATTCTCCATCACTCTAAATATGTGGATACTTCTGGAGTTGTTAGGATACTTTGCATTAATTATAATGAGAATATATTCTCTACTAGACTTTACATGTTGCATGCGAGTGCCATTTTCAAATCCCATAATTATCTCACATTCAATTTTTATTGATATTAACCCCTTTAGATGATGATGTTGTTACCTAGTGGAACATAGCTTACTAGAGAGAGGTATGGTTTAAAAAAAAATCTGATTTTTTGGATATCTGTTTGAGGTACTTCGTAATTTTACTTAATGACAGTGGGTATTTGGTGTGATAGGTAAATTTTTTGGATCTTATTTAAGGTGTATTTTAAGTTTCACCGTCATAGGATAAGTAGAATAAGAATTGTAATGTTTTCTTTTGTCTGAAGCTTGCCACTGGCAATTTTGTAGCATGGGCGAACAGTGATCCAAGCCCTATTATTTCTCTCTAAATATTCCTTATGATTCGAAGAATGAACTGGAAGTGCTTTTTTGAGTGATTTAATTCTTTAAATCACTTTGTATTACAGGTTTAATTAGGGATGCAACTTAGGTGGGTTGCATCAGGTTGAGGGTCAACACAGACCCAATCTGAGATGAACCCAACATATCCCGGGGCCAGGCTCAGGGTCGGGCTTGGATGTGTTTGTTGGGTTTGAAAGGGTTTTTCAATATGTTGTGCACATTCACCTTTTATAGCCCAATTTAGCAGTAGACTAGATTGAAAACATGCACAAATTCCCTAAATAAATGCCTATATACATATGTTATACATATGTACATTGCGTACATATAATTGTAAATGCATCACCATCATAATCATCATCCAAGCCTTATCCTACCTATATACCTATATGGGGTTGGCTACATGAATCCTATTTTTCCATCCATTATGTTTAATGTCATATCTGTTGTTAAATTATTATCACCTAAATTATTATAAATACAATACATGAAATGCGGGCATTTCCACATGTTTTGCATGGGTATGAGTTTAGGGTAATCATATACATATTATAAATAATTAATATACTCTATGATTGATGTATATGAAGGTATAAATATATAATATACATGTACACATATCTTCTTATTCAAAGAAAAAAACATGTACAGTTGTACACAGGTCATAAATACACAATATACACATCTATCCAAGATTGTATGAATTATGATGTACTCCCGTAATAAAACTGAATAGACAAATATACCCCTGTAATAAAAAAATCCCTAAACATCAACGATAAACATAAAAGGAAACATAAGCTTCCCTAATTTCAACTTTTCTCAATTATTTCTCTTCTTTTTTTTTTCTAACTATCTCTTTGGGAAATTTATCTTTTTATACAAGATTTATTCAGATCCGTTTCAAATTTAATTTACTTTCACTATTCTCTGTTATAATTTACCCTTCCAACTTTAAATCCAAAATTCAACCTAAAATCCTAACTTACTAGAATTTTCAGGTTTTATCTTTGATTTTATTAACAGTGTTTTTTGTCCTTTTGTGCCCAAGCTACTCAGAACCCCCTTCAAATTAAATTTTCCTCTGCATCTCCCTATTCTAGGGGCCATTGCTTGCTGTAATGGTAAAATCTTAGGCTCACAAGCATGAGAACATGGGTTCAAGTTTGAGAATGACCACTTTGTGCAAGGAAAAATGTCAAAGGTTAGGACCTTATCTTGTCAACCCCTTCCAAGACCCCAATTAGCTGGGACCAACATTGAGCAATGGCCTTTTTTATCTCCCTGTTTTAATTTTGTACAGAAAATTTCAAAGAAGAATCCTACACCTAAATCTTGGTTTTCTGAGGTTTCATCAGTATGGGTAAAAAACCTCCCTAGTTAGATATTTCTAATAAACTCTCCTAAAGTTGCCTTTCATCTTCTTGATTCATTCCTCTACATTTTCAGCCCACCTAGATTCCATACGACCTACCTTCCTACATTAGAGAAAAAGAGAGATTCTAGAGACAGTAAGTAGCTTTCATGGTTAACTTGTGAGTTGTGACCCCACCTGCTCTGTAATATTGGCAGGTGGCTGTTGGTGGTATTATGCTAATTTGAACCCCCGATTTAGATTATGAAAGTCCTGTGGTAGCCAAAGTTGATTGCCCTGGTGATATTAGCATCTTTGAGAGAATAAATACCTTTGTTTTCCTTTTCAGTTCAGCCCATTTGATTGCCCTGGTGCAGAGCTGCTCCACCCTCTTATGAAGAGCATGTGATTTCCCTGCAGAACATATTACATAAAAAATCCCACCAACAATCAGATAAAAAAAATTATTAGTACGCCATGTAAAGCACAAAAAAACAAAAGAGCAAAATACAGAACTCGAGAAGAAGAAGAACAAAAAGTTGCAGTGTATAAGAAGGAAACAAACAGAGAAAAACAAATGTAAAATCAAATTCCTATAAGAGAATTTATCCAAAAGTAAGTGAAGGAATAAAAAAAATCACATAACTGAACTCGGTTCATCAAAAGCATCCAAACATCGTATTATGTAAATAACAATGCCAACTAAATAGATATGCCAAAGGAATAAATAAATAAACCAGACCAAAGACACTAGGGAAAACAGCTTCACTTACCAGTTCTAGGATCACGGCCGGAGAAAACAATGGGCTCCATACCACCATCCAGCTCAGGAAGAGCAACCTGCAAAGCCACCTGGATTGGGTGCAACCCAAGAGTACTGTTTAACCATTCTTCTGTTGTCTGAAACACCAATGGCAGTGCGACAATGTATGGCACATCAAGCTTCGTCAATGCCTCAACAGCTCTGGGATGATCCTGCCTTGCAGGCCCTCCCACCAGTGCAAAACCTGTAAGTGACACCGCCGAGTGTACAAAAGGTTTTTTGCTGATTGGATCAATGAAGAACTTCTCCACTGGCCCGGAGAAATCAAGCCCACCGGCAAATATTGGTATCACCTTGGCCCCTCTTGCCTCCAACTCCATGATCACAGCTACATAGTGGCCATCATCCCCGGTAACAATATGGCTTCTCTGCAAAACCAACCCAATAACAGGAGCATTCGGATCCTTCAGCTTCTCATTGGCATCCTTTCTAGTTCCATACCAATTCAAGTACTCCTTCACATCATCATACATACAAGGAGCCAAAGGATGCCATATCCCAGTGTCTAGGAACAGAACCGGATCCGCATATTCAATCTTAGCTCCTTTAAGAGCCGGAACATATGACCCAGAAATCATCTTGATGAAATTCTGCAAATTATCCGGGGATCCTCCAAGCCAGAATTGCAGACTAAGTATATACAGCCGAGCATCTTGAGCCTTATCGCTTGGTAAGTACTTGAGAACCTTGGGCAGAGTCCTCACAAGCTTCAACATGCTATCTGCGAAACCCGCAGAGGACTTCTTTTTCTTGAAGAGCTGGAAGAAGGGACTCTTGGACTGCCCGAGCTGTGACATACTGAATGAACCCAACTTGTTTAGTCTCATCACTTCAGGCATAGAAGGGAACACCAGAACTGCATCCAGTCTGTCTCTCTCCTTTTCAACGGCTGCCTTGACCTTCCTTGCGAGCTCTTCCACGAAAATAAGCGAACCAATAAAGATGTTAGCATCCTCAAGATCTTTACAGAATGTCTGGTAAGTAGATTCATCTCGAAGCTCTTCGACCAAGTAACCAACAACTCCGAACGAAGCGTACCGCCCTTTGCTGTTGAGGGACCTGACGGCAGCTGAGAGGGAAGACTGGTATTGAGCTTCAAGTACCACATAGACTATTTTAACTCTGGGTAAGCCTGGCTTTTGGTCGGGAAGAATTCGACGGACTTCTGGAGTGGTTTGGGTGAACAAACCATTGCCAGTTGCAGCACATTTCACTCTTAAGCCAGTTCTACTGCTACTGTATTGATTTAGCTTCCTGGGTAGGAAGGAATGAAGCAAAAAATGCTTTTGAGAAAGAGAGGAGAGGTGGTCTACCTTGGAGGCAGGCAATGTGAATGGTGAAGACACTAGAGACGCCATTGCTGGAAGTTTTTGCCTCAAGAAAACTGCTCTGTCTCTTGAACAGACCCAGAGACAGAGAGCTTACAGAGAGATTATAGAAAAGAAACACAAAATAATCCTTTTCTACTCTCTCTGGTTAATCTTCTTCTAGAGTTCTTTCTTTCTTCTTGGGAGGTTGGAGGGTGGTAAGTTTATGTACATTTGTGTGGCGAGAAGTGAACGAGGGGGTATGAGGCAGTGGCTTATTCAGGTAGTGGTGCAGTGATGGACACGTGGTAAGAAGTGGGTTGACAAGGACTGTATGATGTCTGACTTTTTTTTTTTAAAAAAGGATTTGTGTTTTATCTATCCTCAGATGTAAAGCGATGAAGTTCCTTGGCTTCTCATTGGATGGTTTGGATTCCCAAACTTGAATTGAGGAGGAATGGATGATGAGTCGGATGGGGCTGAGAGGATAAAAGATCTTCTCTTTCAATACCTTTTCTTGTAAAGATTCTTGCTTTTGAGTTTGTGACTGTGAGTGACGAGGAATTGATATTTTTTCTGTGTGCTTAAATAGGGCCAAGTATGCCGACTGCCAAGTGATCCTCACACCACATATTCTCCCTCTCTCTCTCGTGGATATAAGTACAGAAAAGATAATACCTGAGGGGCTGAGATTTGTGTTTCCTGGAATTCAGGACTAAGAGCCCAAATTATTACTCTGTTAATCTCGGGACGGACAAATAGATCTGTTAACGGACCGGGCTTCGGCTCGGTTTTACACTGTTTTGGGTTCAGGTTTTGGACCGGACCCACTCAAATTTTGGTAAAAGCTAAGCTCAAGCTTGAACTAGGGGTGAGAAAAAAAAAACCGAAAAACTGAACTGATTCGAAAAAATTGACCGAAGGTACTGGTTTGGTTTCAGCATTTAACCAATATAGAAAACCGGTAGTTAATCGAACTAACCTGTATACATATATTTCTATATATTTTATATATATTCATGTATATTATATATTATATATATTTAATATTATTTATATATTATAAATTAATAAATATGCATTATATATAAATATATATTTATAATATATGATATATTATTTATTATTTAAAATATAATATTATATGTATATTTATAAATTTTTATTATATATTTATATAATATATATTGTAAAAATAAAAAACCAAAAAATCAACGAATCAACCAATAGTTAACTAAACCGATCAACCGGTTAATTGATTGGTTTCGGTTACCAGTTACCCAAAAACCGGTAATACTAGTTTGGTTACAAAAAAAGGCCCATGGTTCAGTAACCAAACCGTGAGCACCCCTAGCCTGAACAGGTCTACAAACATGAATTTGAGTTTAAGGATGACTCCTTTGTGAAACACCAACTTTTAGGACCATACCCAATCAATCTAATGCTCATATTGCTTACACCAATATTAGGTGAATGCTCTTTTTTACTAACTTCCTTTTCTAACTCTAAGGCCCCGTTCTCTTATTGAAAAGTTATTTATTTAGATAAATGCATTTTCCAGGTAAGTAATTCCCAAGAAATACTTATCCGGGAGTGTACTTATGTTCTTTTATTTTATAAGTAAATAAGACAATGACCATTTTAGCCATAAAAAAATCATTTTTAAAAAGGGACAATTTTGTCCCATAAAAAAGAACATTGGTATCTCAATGAGAACCAAAATCCCATTGACCAAGTGTTTGTTTAGCATCGATGTCGTTACTCCAGAAAATGGTAACAAATCAGCACCACATTGGAAAAAACAGTGCTCTAGGAAATGTTTGTTTGTTTGGAACTGTTTTTCCATAAAAAATAGTGCTCCAAGCCACGCCTTGGAAATTGAAAAGGTGTGGTTTGGAGCAATGCCGAATTTGGCGTTTTCTCATATTGTAGCTCGTTGTTGCCAATGAGGGCGTGATGTGGCAGTGACGTGGACTTCTTATAATGGGTACCAATGCTGAAAACGGACATGGAGCACTGGTACCAAACAGAAAATGTTGCTGTTGCTCTAGGAAATGTCCTACTTGGCAGCAAGCAACGTTTCTAAGCAAAAAAAAAAAAAGACACTATTTTCTCAGAAAGCAGTGCTTCCAACCCACACATCAGCAGAGAAAACGGTGTTGTATCTGTAGCATCGATGCCAAACATATACCAAATTTCCCCCTTACAATCCAATAAAAAAAAAGAACAAAAAAAAGAAAAACAAGCCTAGAGTGAGGGGATATGGTAGTTTTCTTATATGCTTAAATGGGGCTAAGTCCAAGTGACACTCACACCACATTATCTTTCCTCTCCTCCCTTATTCTCTCTCTTAAATCTTTCTCTCTATAGCTGTGAGGCTGAGATTTGTGTATCCTAGAATTTCAGGATGTTTACTAAGGGCCCTTTCATGACAGTTGAAGTGGCTGAATTGAATGATTTATTGGGGAGGGAGGTAACCCATCCCTAACCCTGGTGTAGGTGGGATTTGATCCAAGCCTTCTCTATATCTAGTAGGAGGCCTTACCAATCAGTTTGTCTTAAAGAGGTGGACGAGTGGTAATTAAGCTATTCTTGAAAAGTTGATACTTTTAATACTACTAGAGGTACAACTTGATCAGGTTAGATTGGCCAACCCTAACCTTGGGCTTGGGCCTAGTCCAACCTAGGTTAAGTCCAAGTTTATCAATCCAGACCCAAACCAAGGTTAACTTGGGTTCATACTTGGGTTGGGTTTGAGCGGGTTAGTCAGGTTTGAAAAAAATTTATTTATGTATTTTTATATAGGTATCTTTTGTTGGATTTTCTGGTCCAATTTAGGAGCACAATTCATTGAAAATATGTATAAATTTCATTTATAATTAAAAAAGGATATTTTTTATATAAATAATACATGTATTTATGTATTTATTTTGGTGGGTTTGAATTGGACCAGGCCCAGGTTGGGTTGGGCCAAGATTGGGCTAAGGCCTCAATCCTAGCCCAATCCAAGTTTAAGTCAAGCCCCAGTTTTCTAGCATAGACCCAACTTGCTGCCTGAAAACTCAAGCCCAACTAAAGCAAGATTCAGGTTTGGTCAAGTCGGGCTTAGGTTAGGCCCAGCCAAGTTGCAACCCTAGATACTACTACTTAAGTGTAGTGGCATGTCCATTTGCACGTATAAGAGGAGAGAGATGAGGCATAAATAGTGAGTAGAGAGAAAATTAAATGGAAAGAGTGAGAGGAAAATGGAATTTATGGTGGTCTGGAATCAAGTATGCTCTGACATAAACCGGCATGTCCCTTTGGACCCACAAAATTTGCCAACTGCCCTATGTGGAAAATTTTGGGATGTTTCAAGAATTAGAACCCACCAATTTTAAGGAATTATGCCTACTGTGCTAAAAGAAATAAAATGTGTTAAATTTTGGGTGATTTAATTCTTTCTCATTCTTATCCAAGATGAAATTCTAAAATGGACAAGAATGTATAAAAATGGGTAGAATGGAAAATATTGCTATGAACCAAACACTTGTTTCTTGAAAAATGAATTCTTTCCAAATTGACAAATGCCATATGTTGCTCATTTTCATTCTTAAAAAAACTGTGTTAGTAGTCATAAACCACTGGCCTAGGACTCCAAAATCATGGGCACAGAGTTTTTTTAAAGAATGAAAATGAGAAATATGGGGCATGATTATGGAGGTTACCTCAACTCTTATGCTATGGGCTAATTTTTCATTTTGAAAAAAAATGAAAATCCATGACAATAATTTTGTAACCAAAAGCTCTTAATGTTATTCATTATTGCCTATTTTTTGCACATGATGAGCAAGAATTAAAAAAAGAATGCCTAGAGCAGTGAACCAAACATGCCCTTTATTATTGGCTTAAATTATGACATTTCATTGCTACTTTTATCCAAAAGTTCAGGCTTTTCTATTGAAGTTAATAACCTAAGCAAATTTTGTAAAAGTGCACAAATTCTAAAATTTGAAAATCATTTGTATAAGGTTCAAAATGGATGAAACTTAAGAAATATAAACATCATTATTTATATACATCCATTAGCAACATCGGTCATTGGCTATACCAAATATTAGGATGGTTGAAAATTACAGTTAGGGTTGGTTGTACATTTAAATTTAAGCTGTAAGTTGGTCAAAAAACCAACAAAACTCTAAGAACCGGCTCTACATTTCAAATTATAAAAACCCCCACCATGTCATCAGAGGTTTATGTGGCTGTTGCCAAAATGAGATTCTTAATCCGTGTTGGACATAACAAAGAGCTTATATCAAAATTTCCCTTTAATGTTGAGTGATTTGAAAATAAAAAAGGGTTTTGACTCTCTCTCTCTCTCTCTCTCTCTCTCTCTCTATATATATATATATATATATATATAAATGGTTTTCGGTTTCTATATTTACGTTCTCTTTATCAATGTCTATGTGTGTATGTGTGTCTCCCTATTGTTCTCCCTCAATCTCTCTCATTCTCTATCATATTGTTCTCCCTCAATCTCTCTCATTCTCTATCATTCTCCCTTAGTCTCTCTCCCACTTCCTCTCATTCTTTTTCTTTTTTTTTTTATTTTCTTATACACTTATATGGTATTAATAAAACCGTATAAAAGAATATGTGACCAAGTTGGTAAGGTTCTAAAATTATTACATCAAACTCTTGATTATAAAATTTACACAAACTTGATAGAAATTTTGTAATTTGATTGTAATGATTTTAAAACTATATTAAGTTGGTCTTATGTTTTTTTGTACGGTCTGATTAATATTGTATACGTTTGTAAGAAAAATTTAAAAATATGAATGAGAGAGGAAGCGGGAGAGAGAGAGAGAGAGAGAGAGAGAGAGAGAGAGGTTTTGATTTGGTTGCAAACCGAAGCTGAGAGAGTGGGGGATCGAGATATGATTGAGAGTGAGAGAGTGGGAGAGAAACTCAAAACCTATTTCCGGTATAGGCTTTTTTGCTTTGTCCAACATGGATTAAGTGTCTCATGTTGGCAACAACCACATAAGCCTCTAATAACATGGCATAGAGTTTTTATAATTTCAAATGTATAGCCGGATTGCCATAATTTTGTTGATTTTTGGACCAACTTGCAACATAATTTTAAATAACTCTCTCTGACTATAACTTTCCCTTTCTCATCCAATTTATTTAGGTTGAGATAGGCTATTGATGTGGTTGATGATGGTTCCAATTATATGTAGGTTTGTCAATGATACCCAAA